AATGAAAGCTCACACTCTTGTTCTTTCTTTTGGATGTGATGTTTCCTAGTCATCATTTACAAACCCACATTCAGGAAGGAAACAAGCTTTATTAGCCTTGCTAATAAAGAGAACTTCTATTTCTCTTCCTCATCTTACAAGTTGTTCTCAGCCATAGGAGGGCACTCAGGTACAGGGAGGTCCTGTGTCTAGCAGCAGAACCAACTTACCCTTACTTTCCGGCCTATGATTTAGGAACTCATGGCAAACGGTGAGGGCTAGGAATGTCTATCATTGTCCTGATCAAAAGTTAAATTTTAAGTGCTTTCCATGGGCATAATATAAGAAATTCTTTAAATTTCCTTTTCAAGTGTTGTTCATCAGTTTAGAATCTTTCCTCCTTTTGCCCATTTCTCTCTGATTATCCTGTATTATTAGGCAGTTCTGTGTAGCCAAATAATTTGTGGCCTGTCTTCTTCCAAAGTAAAATAGTGACCCTTTCAAAGATTTCTGAATGCATTCTTCATGCAATTTTAAAAGGAGATGGGTAAGGTAGAACATATTTCTCTTTGCCCTGTGTGTCTTTCAAATAGTATTTGTGGCTAGGTAAACTAGTTGGACTATAGCATCAGCTATCACAGATACAGAGTCATAAATGCATAGAGAATGATAAATAGGTGCATATGGAGAAGTCTGACAGTTGAGGGGAATTGCTTTCAAGTAATTTGACACATTAGGACTTTCAGACATTCACCTGCCAGTAATCCTCGTTAGAATAAGATTGTAATATTGGGGTCACTAGCTCAAAGTCCATTTTTCTGAGATCTGAACAATAACCAGAGGTCAGAGCTAGAGGGAATAAGAATGAAACTATTCTAGGCTTTAGAACTGTTTCTCTAAATGAGCTTTCTCTCTTTCCTCTGTTCCTCCTTTCTCCTCTTGCCGTCCTCTCCTTTCTTTTTCCTCCCTCCCCCCTCTTTCCTTTCTTTTTAGTGCTATGAATTCATTAGATGGCATAGTGTAAATCAATAGTAAACGCTAACCGCCTACTCTGTACTCAGTTACGCAACATCACATAACCGGTACACAGAGACAAAAAGGGAAAAAGCACACACAGCCTTTACATTCAAAAGCTCTTGCATAATTTTACTTTTCCACAGCCAAAAAGAAAAAAAAAAGGAAATAACAGATGGGGAAACTTACAGTTTTTTTTTCCCTTTTCTCAGACTGTTGAGGAGGGAGTTAGTTAACATCCGTGGCCATTTCTAGTTGCCCTAGGCTGCAGCAAAACATCCCATAATTGTCAGTGCCTTCACTGACTTTAAAACAGGATTTTGTGACCCTCCATGATGTGGTGAATTTTCCAAGTAATATGAGACTGAAATTATTCTGAGGTGTTTAATGCTGACTTGGTTTTTACTTGTTTTGTGAAAAATCAACAACATTTAAAGTATGAAATGAATTTTAAAATAGAGGATAAGGAAGATGGCTGTGTGTGTGTGTTTGTGTGTGTGTGTGTGTGTGTTTTCATTTGAAATGTATCCTGATGTAATATTTATGTAAAAAGCCAGTTATATAAACCCTGTCTTTCTCTCGCCTTTTACTTTGGGGGTTGTAGAAAGCTCTAATTTTTTTTTTTCTCATGACAAACTCCAAGTCTTAATGAAAGAGAAAACATCTAGATGCTATAGCACAGACGCTTAATTCAAACTCCCTATAGAATTCATCCCCTAAACAACAGTTCCACTTAGGAGCCTGCAGTTTCTGGAATTTTCATTTAGAACTTTCCGTCATACTCTTCCCTGGCACAGGGAATTCATTGCACCACCTTCAAGTCTCTGTCCCTTTGTAGCTCTTCACTCCTTTCCCACACCCCCCACTTTTTCACCAGAATAACTCCCTTCCCAGTTTAAGTGGGAACACAGTGAGATTTGTATGAGGTCTATCAGTCTTCTGTCCCTGTTTATAATATTTTATTTCATTTAACAGACTGATGTCCTCCGGGAATCAGACATGCACCTGATGAGGGAAGTTGGAGGACTTTTTGGTTTTGTTTTATTCTTCCTTTGTAGTTTCTGCCTCTCAACCGTCATAAATGGGTGCACAGGAGTAGGCACTGTTGGGTAGCTGCTAGGAGAAAGTAAGATCAGGTGTGTTAGAGGTGGTGCTGGTGATAGTTCCGGTCGTTCGTAATGCAATCCAAGAGAGGGAGGCGAGGAGATGAATCTCCTTGTACTGGAGGTCAGGAACATTCCTCCAGGTCATACTCTTCTTCTGGATGGAAAATCAGATGAAATTGGTTCATCTGATTTTACCGAAGGAAAGAGCTGAGTGTTCCTTCACTTTTTTAAAAAAAGATTTTGGCTATGTCCTAGTTTGTTTACCTTTCATTTATGCATTAGCTATTACATTTAGGATTCCTTTTTTATAGAAAAAATCTGCTGCATAAAGATAAAAATCAAAGCCAGGAGAGTTTTATCTGGTTTTTAAGGTCTCATTGCTTCAATGTGTGTCTCTCTTGCAACAACCAAGTGATCGAGAGGATTGGGGTTATCATGTCTTTGTATCTGTGATGACATGGGGGCATCTTTAGTTGTCTTAATGAATAATGAGTAAGCTAGTATATAGTTTTTAAGTATTTTATCAGTGTGCTTCCTGGTTTTTTTCTTAAAAGGATCTATAGCTCAGGTAGATTTGTTTGTGGAAAAATAAGGAAAGTTGATCAAAATACTCTGGTTTGTCACCAGGAAATCATATTCCTATGTATACATTTTCTGAGTGTCCCTCTCCATGTGTTATGGCTGAGTTCGGATTCCAGGATGCAATTCTGTATGTATATACCTGCATTATGTAAAATACCATACTTTTTAATACAATTTGAACATGATTATTCATCTGTAACCAAGCACTTATTTTTGGTGGGCAGTTCCATATACAGGGAGTCTTGTGTATCCTGATTTTCAAATGGGTTGCCTGGATTTAAAAGAAAACTTAGAACTCTATAGATAGAGCGTTTTCTTGGTTGTCAAAAAGAGTTGGAGGCGTGTATTATAAAAGAAATAGAAGAAAATGTCTTCAAGTAAAATATCTTTGAACTTTTTTTTCTGCTTGTTTCTTAGCTTCTGTTTTCATCTCAGTAGGTTTTTACACTCTCTGAACCATACTTAGGGCAGAATTGACCTTTCAGCATCTGATGGCTGCCAACTGATTCTGGTCCGCCCTCATTTTCAATTGTAACCAGGACCCTGGACACATATAGGCTACTTCTAGTTTTTCTTTGGTAATGTGGGATCCGGGCTTCGAAGGGCCGACAGGCCTAAACTTCCTGTTCCCAGGGCATCCAAGAAGCCAGGGAGAGTTTTAAACAGTTTCTAATTTTTCAGAAGTCCTTCATAACACTTTCAACCTAGCTTCTCCTCACTGTTGGCAGTAGTAATAGATATTTTTAAATGTTGCAACAAGAACCTTAGCCACTGACTTACCTTTCCAAGCAGAATTACTCTAGTTGTGCCTGGCATATAGTAGCCCCTTCATAAATATTTAACCACGTTTTGGTGAGCTGGTGAGGGACCTTCAGTGGCCATTCCTTCACAGTGCTTACACAGGTGAACAGTGAGCCTTGAGAGGAATAAAGGGGTAAGATGAAATCAGATGCAGTGCTCTTCAGGTCCCAGCGATGGACAGATCACCCCATTTTATAAGAAAGCCCTTATCATCCTGTCTCTGTCTTTATAAAAGTAGCAAATCACAGAAGGCAATTTTATGCTTCCTAGGGGTCTTTTTCAGTGGTCAGTGCTGCATGGAACAGTGGATCATTTAAAAAACATAATTTTTGGCTAGCTACTTTGATGGTCCTCATTTAGTTTCATATGCAAATGTGTTGGGAACCTCGGATTCTGGGCCTCAAACATATTCCTCTTGCCTTGTACCACAGGGTCTTTGAATCTTGGCTTTTCTCATTTTCCCTGGACAATTGTGTTTCAGACTCCTTTTATTTATATAAGTGTTAGAATGATGACTGTAGACAAATTTATATAAAGTTCTTCCTTTACATAGAGTTTCATTACTTTTAGTTACAATAATTCCGGATCTTTCTAAATCAATTTTGACTTCAGTTAGTTATGCTGGTTATTTTCAAGGCTTCATTCTGGTGGTGATATTGGGGGTGGGAGGTGATCTCTGGTAAACCATCTATGGCTTCTAAATTATAAAAGCAGCGAAAAGACAAGCATGTGGAATTATTGATAGACTGCTGCTAGTTAGGCAAGCAGTTTTAAAAATGCAGATTATATAATATTGGGGGATTTTGTTGCTCCACAGTAGAAGCTTTTTAAATGTTAATTTGGGGTTTATTTTGTTGTTCTGTGACTTAGCATAAAAGATTTTGGTTTTAAAAGGTTTCAGTTCAGTCGTTCCATTTGTATTACAGGACTTGGAATATAATACTATACATTTATTTATGCTCATGAAGGAGAATAAGGCCAGTAACTCACAACTCATGAAACCAGGGGTAAATAATCCATAACTTGTTCTCCCACCATTGCCACAATATTTATATCCAGAACACAAGTAACAAACAACCAAAAACAAGAAGAAACCAGTTGTTTTTATTTACAAAATGTTTAATCAAAAGTACAGTAAAGTTCAAATGGAGCTGCAAATCCTGGTGGCTCACAATGGTTTGATTTATTTTTTCAAACAGACCATGGATAATTAAGCATAAAACATAACTTTCCCAATACAAGTTACAGTGAATTGCAAAAATGGGCAGCAAGTCATTCACAACTGGTTGCAACTGGTTCGAGCCCTTAAAGCTGAACATGCAGACAGCTACACACACCACTTTCCCAGTGCACACTTGTATGTTCCTTCCCAAAAGGAAGTCTCCTTTACTCTCCGTATAGTATAGTATCACTGAGTCAGCATCCCAAGGTGAGAAGCAAATGGGTTATTTTCCATGATCACCATGTTGTCACGCATTTATTAAATGCCCAGCATTTATGATATTCTTTTCATTTCAGAATGTTTCGCCATCACTAACTGGATATTCATCACAACTTTGCTGTCGGGTGAGTAACTTCTGTTACCCCTAAATGGCAGTCCACAATATTGAGGTGCCAAGAAGTCAAGTATGTTTCTCCCAGACTCTGAAAGAATTCAACCTAAGGGCTGTGGTGTACTAAATTTGAATAGAAAGTATTTTGACATTGGTGAAGGCTACAGATTTTATGTCCAGTTTGTTCATTTGAAATACCATCATTTAGAATGATTAGAAACATGATCCCAAGAACCTATGATCACAGATTTCAACCAACATTTCACGATGATTTTGCCACGCAGAGATGGAAGTATTCAAAGGGCTTGTTTGGCAGACTCTCCGGAGATACAGATTTCCAAAGGAGACGCCTGAGTGGACAGAGAGGGTGATGTTTCCCATGTGGAACATTGGATGCTTTGGCATTAAACAAACAAAGAACCTTCCAAACACATTTTGTGATGCTTTGAACTACTTATTATTATTCTATGATATGCTAAAAATTTGAAGCACATTTGCTTCATTTGAATCAATCTTAAAATCAGACATGATTGCTCTTGTGTACACCCACAAGTGGAAGGGAAAATGTCCTTTTGGAGCATGAATATAGATAGCAACCTCTTTTACGAGCTAAGAGGACCAAGACCAGAGCTGCGAGTGAGCCTAGCATTGAAAGCTTTGAGGTCCATGTGTCTTTTAGTGGAAATTGGTGAAGTTTCGAAAAGGTTGATGTTGTGGCCTCCTAGAATTCTTGAGATTTCAGTGGCTGGGAGGAGAGTGCAGGTCAGGACTAAGGGTCTTTTCGTAGAGCATCATCAAGTCAGAAAGAACCTAAAAGAGCTGTGTTTGCTAGAGGTTGGCCGGCATTGAAATGTCCTGGCAAGTGTACTGGAGAGGGAGGAGGACCAGAGGGGGTGACTTGCCTGGCATCTGATGATATTCTGCCTGGCTCCAGCCAGGCCTGTTTAGTCATGAACATCATATTCATCCAAACCTTTTAAAAGTTACACTCTTGACTTCACTTTATATGAATGTGCATAAAATGAAGAAAATAATCTCTTGGGGTAATAAAGATAGTTTTCTAACAGGGACTTTCCATATCCATTGCACAAAATCCACAGTTGTCGCTGTATTTTTGTTTCTAATTCTGTCCCACATCTACCTCTGTCTCTCTGAACATATCCATCTCACCAGTAAAGGCCTGGAGCCTTTAGGATTGTAACCACTCGCACCACCCCACTCCCAGTCCCGTGCTTTATTTGTCTGGCTGACTAAAAAGAAACTCCTGTGGGTGTGAGCGGTAGGACTCAAGGGACAAGATTACTTGGTAACTTTAATTTGTTGCTCCCATTGCTTTCATCGCAAAAGGATCTCATTACAAAATGGCCTGAATTTCACACTCTTTGGGGCTTGCAGAGAAGCCAGTTCCTCCCCTATTTCTGTCCGACACACAGAAAGCTCTTTATGTGTCTATGATCAGATAAAAATCTGTATTGACGTTTCTTTTCCTGTGGGTGTATTTCACTTCTAGGTATGAAGATTTAAGGTATCTGGGCAAAGCTGTGTGTTTGCAGTTTCTCTGTTTTAGTGAAAAGCTCCTTGGGAAAGGAGAGCACATCTTATCCACTAATGAATAAAAATTTATTTTCATTTTAAAATGATACATGCTCATTAAAAATAATTTGGAAAAACACATAGAAGTAAAATGAAGAAAAATACAAGTAATTATTTCTATAATTTAAATCCAATCATTAATAACCATTTGATGTATTTCTTTACTCTCACTTTCCCCTGGGGATATACTTTTTTAAAAAACATGTTGTAAACATACCTTGTACATAATTTTGTGTCCTGCTTTCAAAATTTAACCTAAAAATTTTACATGTAATTACATGGTTCTTATAAATGTCATATTACATAAATATATGCGACTCCTAAAGAGGAATAGCTTATTTAATCTAAATATGCAACAAGAGCATTTTGGGGGTTTTTGTTTTGTTTTGTTTTGTTTCAATTTTTACGTCCCCATGTCTTGCATATAAAGAGTAAACGAATCAATCAATAATGACTGAAGGAGTAAAAGTTCAAATCAGTATATATTTTTGAATTTTTAATTATGAAATCTTTCAAATACATGAACGTAGACACGCTACTCCAGTGAACTCCCATGGACCCATCCCCCGGGTTGCCCAATGATGAACTCATGGTCTGCCATTTCCCAAGCTACTACCATATTATTTTGAAGCAAACCCCGGACATCACAGCATTTAGTCCATCAAGATTTCAGGCCCATAAGGACTTTTTCACATGTTAATGATATAAACATTGAGATAAATAGTTCTAATCATTGTATATAGGAGTATTTTTCTTCTAAGTATACTGCCATTATATTTCCTAAAATGTAACAATTGATCATAAAGTCTCATCAGAGTGTTTTGTAATATTCTTGGGTATATCTGTTATCCAAAGGGCAATTTGGTTGACCAGAGAGACATTTCACAGATTTGGCTAGGCTTCTTGGGGACCTTTTTTTTTTTTTTTGGGCACTATTTTTACTTGGCTCAGAATGATAATTTGCTGCTAGTTTTATCATTATGGGATATACACTGTGTTTTATACAATTCTGTTTCTGAGGTAAAAGGGAAGGAGTGCTCTGACTACTTTAGGAGCCCATTGTGGCTACAGCTAACCCGTATGGCCAACCTACTTCAACCAAACATAGCACTAGATTTAAAAGCATCATTTTTTAAAGATTTATTGGCAGAAAGGAAAGGTTTCTTCCTAAAGGGGCACTTACAAAGTCTGAAAAGGAAGGGATTACATATTAATAGTCTGAATAATTAAAAAAACAAAAGCACTGTTTGGGGAAGTGAGGGTCAAAAGAGACAGTATATTGTTGAACAAAGGGCACTCCCTATGTGCTTCTAAGTATTGCTCTAGCTTACTCTAAGAATATTTAAAGAACCTAGTTTTCTGTAACTAGACTAGATCCTTTGCACACGGAGCTCCACAGATGAAGAGGGCTCTGTGCAAATTAGGCTTTCCATAGAGAACCTATAGTTAGGGTTTAGTCCTGCCTTGCCGTCTTTGAATTACAGTCAGTGGCAGTTCGGTAGTACTGTGTTGTCCAAAAGGTGTATTCCACTCATCAGAAATTCAGGATGTGAGTAACTATGTAACACACTGCATCACTATAAACTGGATTTATGTGTTACTCAGGTCTATTTAATCTTAGGAGCACATTTTCCATTGGCCTCGAAAGTGAGTAGCTAGAATATTGATATGCCTAACCCTTGGAGAAGAAAAAAAAGTGCTTCTCCACTACACTAAATCTCTACAAAAATATGAGGGCTTACAGTATGGACACATACAAAGTATTTTCAGCCAAAGTTGGTAGAGGAAAGCACGTGGAGGAAAAAAAAAAAAGAAAAGATAAGAAATAACATAAGCAATAAACTATCCCAAGCAAACAGAAAGCATCTGTAACATTTGCCAGACTGGATGGTGTAAACAATACAAACTTTTTTTCTTTCCATTTCATTTTTTCCCTTTCAGTCTTCTGATCCTCTCTGTTTCTCCTTTACCCTGGTTTGGTGTTACCACCATTAAAATGTCCTCAAAAGATCAGGAAAGGCTCTGATGGCTTGGCATTGAGACAGGCTTCCAAGGAAGGATAGGTAGGATCTAGCCACTAACTTTTTTTTGTTGTTTTTTATTTTATATATTTATTTTCTCATTAATATATAGAAAGAAGTGTCCAATGACAAGTTCTATAATTTAAATATATATTTTGTGCCACTGTTTTAAAGCCACAAGGATATTTTACCATACCCCATAACACCCGTATTTTAAAACAGCTAACATTTTCATCATTATTTTTAAGATTGATATTAACAATACAACAACTGAAATAAAGGCATAAGTCTTCATCTCTTCCTGCATCATTTTCTTGTGTGTGTTAATTATGTAGCTCATGTCATATAAACTAGAATACAAACTGCCTTTTAAAGATAAGAATAAGTTTACCCTTGGTTCTTTCTAGCTAATGTATTATACATTATACCCAAGTGAACCATCAATGCCCCATCCTGATAATAGCTATAATAATAATTATTATTATTAATGATAGTGTTTGCTTCTTGGTATATGTGTGTGGGGTTTCCTTATGCTCAGCCTTTGGGTCTGGTGTTTGTTCCATTGTTGCTATTTGTGACCATATGTATCCTCAAGCTATAAAACAGCATTTCTTGGAATAAAGTAGTATTCCATATCCTCTACTTCCTCCTCTCTAGGTGAGTTCAGAATCATCGTTGCATGATTGATTCTGCTTCTACAGGGCAAGGAATCCTTTGTAAATGCCTGCATCAAGCCAGGATTTTCATTTTAGACCAAAGACACAGAGAGGTGCCAAAAAAAGGGGGGGTTATTCATATCATCAGATCCATGTTTCATGAAGTTGGCATATTTTCTGGATAAACTTTATCAGATATGTAATATATCATCATATGCAATTAAATTCCATGAGGATAGGAATTATGGCATTCTCTTAGTGAGATCACTTGGCTGATCCTGCTTTACCTGGAGTGGTGAGGGAAGACTGAAAACCCCATTCAAGGCAGACATTCAAGATGCTTTTGCATCCAGCTCAGTCCTTTTATATTGGAAATGCTGAAGAGAAGTCTTAACTTTTTCTTCCTTCATTAAAGATGAGTCAAAGCCTGTGATATAAACAACATACTTTGGAGAATGGTCTTCTCTTTGGGGGACTGCTCCATTTGCAAACCATGCTAAGGTGCACAGAGAATTGGTTCTGTTTGTTTTATCCCACTCTGTGAACTATTCTTAACGTGCTGTTGATATATACTTTTTGGTCAAAAGTAATTTGCTTTCTGGTTTTTGATGGCCACTCTGAATCAACCTAATGTATTTGTGGTGTGGGGATCGGTAACCTCTGAACACTAAGTTTAAAGACTTTTATAATTAATTATTTAAAGACATTTTAGCCCTTAACTCTTTCTCTCTCTGTCCATGAAC